GTGAGAATTAGGGTTGTGAATTAGATGGCTGAGAACTAGAGAATTAGGGACAAAGAGATTTCTTCTCGGCCTTGCTTTTGATGGAGTCCGTGCTCCTCTCAAACCCACCCAGAATGGCCTGAAATGCATTTGGTGTCAAGCACAGCCTGCAGCTGGTTTACTATAAATAGAAAACATACGTATATACAATAGGTAAATTATTTATATTTTACATATAGCAAGCAGCTCCCCAGGACAAAATGCCTGTAGGGTTTTTGTAGATGTCAGCGATCACCCACCAGCACCATCTCCCCACTGTAGCAGCGTCCGCAACATTGTGTTTCCACCATTCAGAGATTACAGGCGTAAATGACCTCAAAAGCAGATGACTGTAAACCATAGTAAAATAACCTGGCAGCCACCAATTTTGAGCATTTTATTATATATGTTGTCCTAGAAGCGGTTGAACTCCAAGCTATGTAAGTTCATTTTGAATGAGGGCTGTGTTTACACTCCCAGCAGGCAAAATTCCTGAAAATTTGCAGTCGACTCTTGTGAGATGAGTCAGGCGTGACAGGGTTGAAACCCATCCGTCCTTGCTGTAGGAAGAGGCCCGTCTTCACCCACAGAGGTTTCCCTTCTCCTTCTGGGATTCTCTGTACCCCCACGCCCAGCATGGTGGGCAGATGGGCTGAACCTGCCGCTACATGGCAAGCGGGGGGCGGGCTCGGGGGGCTGCCAGTGACCTGGCTCACCTTCCCTTAGTGAGGCCGAGGGTCCTGGGGGCCTGACAGGCTTTTCCTGTGCTCTGTGTCCCGGCTGAGCACCGCTACTTTCTCTCTCGGGTGCTCCCCACTTGCAAACTCATCTAGATGTCAATGGGACAGAAGCTTGTGCATGGCGAAAAGGTAGAGGGATGATGCTCCGGAATCAGGCCCAGAATCACCTGGTCCACGGTGGGGGACTACTGGGGACCCCAGGTGTGTAAGACTGAAGGTGCTGGAGAGAGAACTCCGGGAGTACCTGTGGGTGTCAGAAGCTCTGGAATGTCAGACTGCTCTTTTGTACATATAGATAATATATAGATGACATCCAAAATACAAATATACTAACTACATCTTTATATAGTAGATGCTGATATATATTATATTATTATGTTAATATGTTATATTAATAAGATACATTATTACAATGATCATATTAAAATCACATGTTAATATATTTAAAATCTATGCATTAAACTATTTCTATTATATTATTGGGCTTCCCTTGTGGCTCAGCTGGTTAAGAATCCACCCGCAAAGCAAAAGAATCCACCTGGGTTCGATCCCTCGGTTGGGAAGATCCCCTGCAAAAGGGAAAGGCTACCCACTCCAGTATTCTGGCCTGAAGAATTCCATGGACTCTATAGTCCATGGGGTCGAGTTAAAACAGTTATACAGCTTCCTGGTGGCTCCTGCAGTTTAAAGAATCCGCCTGCCAATGCAGGAGACACGGGTTCCATCCCTGTGTCGGGAAGATCCCCTGGAGAAGGAAATGGCAACCCACTCCAGAATTCTTCCCTGGGAAATCCCGTGGACAGAGGAACCTGCTGGGCTACAGTCCACCACGTGACAAAAGAGTCCGACACAACTTAGTGACTAAACAACAACAAACAATTATATTTTATATAATAATATAGCTATGTATTAAATTAAATATTTTATTATATTACTATATATTATATCATATACTTATATTAACTGTGTTTTACATATGTATATTTAAATATAATATATTATAAATATATTATATTTATATTTAAATATAAATATGTGTTGATATATTAAGCATGAATAGATATAAACATATATATTTAGCTTGGCATATGGCTGCCCAGCAAAAGACTACATTTCCCAGCTTCCCTTAGAGCTAGGTGGCCCCTAGGTGTTTGTTTAGAAGGTGGATTGTGAGCAGGAGTGTTGTGGCAAATTTCTGAACCTGGTCTTAAAGGGATAGGATAGATCTTCTCCTTCCATACTCTTCCTTCCTTCTGGCTGGGATGTGGATGTGATACTGGGGACCAGAGAAGCCATTCTGAGCCATAAGTTAAGAACCACATGTTAGAGGGGAAGAGACCTGGTTTCTTGTGATTATGAAGACCCCGTGCCAATCTACCTAGACTTCTATAAGGCAGAGAGAAGCACATGTCTATCTTGTTGAAGCCCCAATAATTTGGAATCTCTGTTACAGAAGCCAAACCAATACCCTGATACAGCACAACGCAGTCATCAGCCTGCTATGAATAAGTAGAGCTTGTCTTGGGTAATAGTTGATCGCTTAGCATTTCCCCCAAAGACTACAGAATTTCAATGCACTTTCTGCATCTTATTCTTTTAAGTTTTAAAATAGTGATGATAGGATACGGTAAAGTTTCTTACCAGTGCAAGAAACCTAAGAGTAAAGGTACTACATACAGCATGACATTAGTGCGTCAGGCTGGTTATTTTTTGGTTTCTGTTTTTTTTTAACTAGGTGTGGCTGTAAGCTAAAGCTGACTTTTTAATATTGCCTCGTTCAATTTTACATTATATTTTGGTGATGCTAAAATTCTCAGCATCCAGTAGAACTCTTTTTTCAGAGGAGGATGGAGCATACTTTCTGGAATGACCACAATGTCTGGAACATCAGCAATGGATTTGATCTTTAGAAACATCCAGAAGCTGTTTAATCCAGAAACTAGTGATAAATCAGGTAGCTAATGAAGCCTGGTAATGCTTGTCGGGGTCAAAAATGAGGTGGATCTAAAAGTCATGAGATTATCTTACTTGCTTTTACCAATAAACTGCCCTGAAAATTATTTCCAAAGAGTAGCTCCCAAAAGGCTTAAAATAATAAGGCAGCTGTTGGAATGATGGTATGCTTCCCCCAGGGGACTACTTTGAAGGACACTGCAATTATAGATGTGTAAATTTCAGAATACATAGTTAAAATCAGATCTATTATTTTCTAGTCACCGTCTTTGTATTCATCTGTTTATGATCATTTTTAAATGAGATAGAAAGCCCATTTAGGGCATCGCAATGAGGTCTGCAGAGTAAGTAACAAAAATAATCATGCATCAATTTGGGCAATTGCCCACAAAAGAAAGTTCCTCCTTAAGTGTATTTAGAGCTCTCCATTGGCCATTCCCACCTGAGCAGCAGTATTGCCCCCTCCCCCCAGCACCTCCTATGACCTAAATTGGTCTTAGGAGACGGCCAATGTTCCCCATCATACTGTATCTCACCAATCTTACCTGGCTCACGTCAGCCCATCTCAACCACTCCTTTATCCCTAAGAATCAACCATCCTTTGATTGAGTTTTCACTCCTTTATTTTATCGTACCAGTTGAGTTACATTGTCTATACCTAGATCGGCCAGAATGTATAGGGCCTTCTATTTATCTGGATCAAACAAAAGATAAAACTGCTAGTGGGAAGCTGTTGTATAGCACAAAGAGCTTAGCTCTGCTCTGTGAAGACCTAAAGGGGTGGGAGGGAAGCTCTCGAGGGACGGGATATATATACATGTAGCTGATCTGCATTGTTATACAGCAGAAACTAACACAACACTGTAAGGCAATTATAATGCAATTAAAACTTTATCCATTTTTAAAAAAGATATATTAAGAGCGAGTTCCCCCACCCACCCCAAGATAAAAGTAAATGGGACTCAAAAAAAAATTGTTTTCTTCTTTGATAGTCAATAACTAAACAAATAAAGAAAACCAAAAAACAACAAAAAAAATAAATAAAAGAACTTCAATCACATGAGGCCACACCTGAGCACAAAAGAACAAAGGTCACAGAAATGGGAACAGGCCCTCCTTAATAAGAGGTCAGAGGAGTGATTTCCTGCGGAGAACTGCCCAACAAGAAAATCGGAAGAAGGTCTACGGGAGGAAGTGGAAAAACGACAGAATTCTCTGGAAATCCTTAAACATAGGTAGATTCTTATTCACCCAGTGTAGTTGCTCATCATGAACACCGAAACATTCATGGACGGGTGTGGTCTGTTTCTAGCCTGCCTTTTGGGACAAAGAGGAATAGCAGAAGCAAATTTGAAACTTCATGGTAGCTAGCGGCCCCAGCGATAATCAGGACCCCTTGAAAGCATGGTGGTCTCTTTCTGCTGGATTTTCAGTTAGCCCCAGTAGGAGCTGTCTTCTGTGGCTGGTAATGTTCTTGTGTGTGTGTGAGAGAGAGAGAGAGAGAAGGGGGGGCGGGGGGCGGGGAGGGGTTGCCCTTTTGAAGCTCAGAGAAGTCCCAGTGACTGACTTGAGAACAGTGAGTTAAAGCTTGTGCGAACCTATTTTCAGGTTAATTCTCAATTACACCCTTGCCTTGGAGGGTCAAGTCGTTTGGTTTCCAGCGAATCCTGTGGTTGTACCTGTGGTTACCCACCGACTTCTCATCTGCTTTGCTTATCTGATAACAGGCGAAGGGGGAAAGAGCTTTTAATATCCCCCAAAAGGGGAAGATTGGTAATTAGCTATTCACCGCAGGGAATCAGGCCAGGTTAGCCTGCTCCAAGCAAGAGAACAATCTGGATGTTGGACTTGGGTGATATTTTCAAATTTGCTTCTGTTATTCCTCTTTCATACAAGATTTAGATCTTCGGGTCTTATCTGGATCGCCTTTTCTTTGTCCTGCTTTTTAAAAGCCAGGTCAAAGCAGGACACACTGCAGGGGAATGAGAAACTTCCGTCTCTCCTAAAACTGCCTTTTGCGCGACAGCGTGTGCATTTCGGGCCCCCGTGTGAATCTGCGCACCTCTCCGCCGGGAGAGTCGTCCCTCCATCCCTCGTCGCGCGGCAGTGAGGGGATCCTTTAGAAAAAAAAAAAACGAGTGAAGTAACTGAAAGAGCGGGCGCAGAGGTAACAGCCAGAAACGGCGAGGACGCCGGCGGCCGAGACAGGAAAGGAGGCGGTGGCGCGGGCCCTGGCGCGCTGCGCGCTGCAGCGACGGAACTTCTGCAAAAGCTGCCCGCCCGCGCGTTATCAGCGGCGCGCAGGCCTGTGGTTTTCTCGCTCTCGCAACCCTGCTTTAACTGCCGGTTTATTTTTCGACAAACAGGATGCTTCCATCTGAGGCTGTCAGCATCCCAGGCTCTTTGACAGAAAAAGAGGTAGTGCAGCCCCACCCTGCAGGCAAGGCCTGGTTGCGGGGTGGGGGGTGGGGGGTGGGTCTCTGCTTTAAGGGGCTTCCCGGAGAAGCGACAACCTTGCAGGTGCAGAGGCTGGGAGGACTTCAAGGAGAACCAGGAGGCTGGAGCGAGTGCAACCCGCCTTCCCTCCGCCACCCCGCCCCTCCCTGCAACTGATTCCACTGCCCGGTCTTGCTCTGCAAGCACCCCGAGGCAGAGAAGCCCAAACCATGGAGAGGCGCACAGGTTGGAGATAGAAGAGGGTGCTTCTTAAACTGTAATCTGCATGAAAATTTTCATCTGCAAGCCAACTGGGAAGTGCACGCCGGTCACCAGCAGCTCTTGTGAAACCTGCAGACTCTGGTCGATGCAGGTCTGGGACCCCCATCTGGGAGTCTGCACTTTTAAATCCCGCTCCCAGTGATGCTGGTCTGCTGGTCCAAAGACCACACTGCGAATGGCCAGGCTCTGGGAGATTGCTATCTTGTCATTCCCCGTGCATTTCTTGCCCCCAGTCTCTGTATAGGCTACAAGCTATGTGCAGAGGAGTCTGCATTTAGAAGGAACCCTAATGCAGGCCATCCAGTTTCGGCCCAGCTGTATTTATTGCTGGGGTTTGGGTTTAACACCGGCCGCCTTGCTAATGGAGAAGAAACTTCCTTTGTGTTCCAGATGGAAGGGAAGCTTGAATGAGCCAAGAGAGTTCTTCAGTCCTAATAGGCAACACCTTCAGGGATTCAGGGGCGATGATGTTCTGAGTCTAGAGTTAGAGGGGGGATGAAAGTGAAGTGAAAGTCGCTCAGTCGTGTCCGACTCTGTGACCCCATGGACTATACAGTCTATGGAATTCTCCAGGCCAGAATACTGGAGTGGATAGCCTTTCCCTTCTCCAGGGGATCGAACCCAGGCCTCCCACATTGCAGGCGGATTCTTTACCAGCTGAGCCACGAGGGAAGCCCAAGAATACTGGAGTGGGTAGCCTATCCCTTCTCCAGCGGATCTTCCCAACCCAGGAATTGAACCAGGATCTCCTGCATTGCGGGCAAATTCTTTCCCAACTGAGCCATCAAGGAAGCCCAAGTGTGAGATGTAAAAACACAACCTCCCAAACCCAACCGAGTCAGGGTTTCCTATTGGTGGAAACATTTACATCTCACAGTCGGAATTCAACGAATGTCCACATTTTCCAGAAGCAGTATACTTTTGGGTAGCAGTAAGAATTCGGAGTCCACATTTGAATATTCTGGACCCAACTTGATCTCAGACCTCCTTTAGGATCTTGCAGTATGCTCTATAAAGTATATATTTTTGAGTCACGTTGAATTAACACTAAGACTTAGATTTTGAGAGAATGGACTAGGAAGTCCACAGCATGTGAATAAGATGGCAAGAGAGGGCTCACAATCTAGAAGTCCTGCCAAAGGCGGTGCTGTCAGATGTGGAAAATATTTCTGCTAAATTTCGCTAAGCCCTGAAATTTCACGAAGATTCCGTTTTGACTTCATCAAAACCAGTCAAGGGCTCCCTGTTACCGAGTATTTCTCACAGTACAACTAAGATTACAGGGCAGTTAAAATGCAGACTCTTGGGCCCTTGAGTCTTATTTCTCACGGCATCCAGGAATCTGCATTTTAAAAGATATTCCAGGGGATTCTGACCTACTGCCTGGTCTGCAAGTTCAAGTCCAACATTCTTAATGGCAGCGTTCAAAGTTCTGCCTTCAGTTTCCCTGTTCACCTGTGAGCTGAAGTGGCCTCTTTATTGCCCGTGAGCACTCCTTGACCCACTCTGAACGGCTGTCTCCTTTTCATCTCCTCCATCTTCCCAGCTCTGTATAAAATGACTTCTTCCTCTCTGAGCCCTCCTTCGATTGCGATTTCTCGTTCAGCAATCAGTCCTTTTCCTGCTCTGTGATGAATCTTGGAATGGGCTGGGCTGTTGTTCCCTTCTCTTTTTGTTCACTGCCTATTTCTGATGCTTGGCTTTGCATCTCCCACTGGACAGTAAGCTTCTGGAGGGATGTTTCATGCTGTATGATCTTTGCATTCCAGACCATTTTGTCAACACGGTGTCACCCACACCCACATGTTAAGTAAATTTACCGATGAGTCGTTACTGACATGTTTTACCATGTGTGATGAACCTGGCATCCTGGGTCCCAGGATCAGAAGGAGCTGGGAAGGGAAAGGGAGTGAGAGCCTTGAGACTCTGGTTCTATGATCACAAAAGACAGAGAGGAAGTGAGAAAAAGGGAGTTGGACCCTCGCTCATCTGTCTGCTGTGTGACTTGGGGAAGGAATTTCCTTTTGTTAATATAGTTTCCTTAATATGGCTTCCGTTCTACTTGAAATCTAGACTATTAAATCTACGATCCGAGGGACGACTGTTTGCTTTTCACTCCCACTCCCCATTGCTAGATTTCCTGGGTGGCCTCTGCCCACTGTCTCTTGATCCGACTGGCCTCCTCCCTTCTTTTTTTGTCCTGTTGGTGGTGGGCAATAGCCTGACTCCAAGCTCAAGCTGGAAGAGATTTCAGTGTGTGACATATAGATCGAAAGAATGGTAGTAATTTAATGATTTGGCTGAAAGCTGTAAGCATACCTCTGTTTTAATCCTGACATGGCCTGGGTTATTACTGGTCATGAAATCTGGTTTTTCTTTCTTAACCTTTCTAAGCTTCATAATGCTGGTTTTCGTTATCTAAATCCTGAACCTCTGTGTTTTCATCTTCAAAGTCAGCCTAACAATAATAGTTCACAAGGCGCTGCAACAATATGCAGACTGCTGGGAGATTTGAGCCCCCAGCAGCTTCCAGTAACCCCTGGTTCCCTGCTCCCTAGCCCAAGTGTAGATGAATGTCTCCTCATGTTCTAGGCCACTCCTTGCTTCCCACACCTTTACTATCATCTTAGCCTCAGGCCTGCTGCTCTTCTTGGCCCACCCTGCTGCTACTCTCCAGTTCATAGCTTCTCTCTTAAGGGAATCTGCTAACCTCTGTAGGAAAACCTTCCTCCTCAGGCTTCAGACACAGCCCTGTCAGCATCTGGTCAGCATGGTAGTGCCCCTGCCTCTGCTCCAAGAACTCCTTCTCCTGGTTCCCTCTTTCCAGCCTCTGCTCTGGGGTCTCTCAGCACTTCCCTGGTGGTTCAGATGGTTAAGAATCTGCCTGCAATGCTGGAGACCTGGGTTTGATCCCTGGGTGAGGAAGATCCCCTGGAGAAGGGAATGACAACCCACTCCAGGATTCTTGCCTGGAGAATCCCATGGACAGAGGGGCCTGGTGGGCTACCATCCATGGGGTCACAAAGAGTCAGACACGTCTAAGTGACCAACACTTATGCTGTCACAAATAGCAGTTTATATTTTTGGGGGTTCTTTCATGGTGGCTCAGATGGCAAAGAATCTGCCTTCTGTGCAGGAGACCTGGGTTCGATTCCTGGGTTGGAAAGATCCCCCAGAGAAGGGAGTGGCTACTGACTCCAGTGTTCTTGCCTGGAGAATCCCATGGACAGAGGAGCTTGGCAGGATACAGTCCATGGGGTCCCAAAGAGTTGGACATGACTGAGCAACCAACACTTTTACGTTCAATGCTCCCTTCAGTCTTAACTCCTCATGCTCAGTTCTCTTCTGTCTTCTTCCTTTTCCTCTGATACTCAAAGGCCTTATGATAGTCTTCAGACCATCTCTTTACAGTAATAGCTCCTTCCTCCACATAGAAAACCAATTAGAATTCCCTTTTATAATATTAAGATGTCTACAGTAGATCCTGAACCATGGAAGTCCTTGGAGATCCCAAAGTGACATAATTTCTAAGGCCTTACAGGTTCCCCATTTACCCTTTGAAACATACTTGTTCTAAAGGCACAGTCATTTCCCCAATTTCAAAAAGCAAGGAAGGTTGCACTTTTTAGAAAGTAAAACACTAAGAGGGAATAAAGGGCAGAAATACATCTTTACAACCATCATTTTGGTGGTTGGATTTCTCAACTATTCATATGTGGGACCTGATTATCCAATACTTTGGCCACCTGATGAAGAGCTGACTCATTGGAAAAGACCCTGATGCTGGGAAAGATTGAAGGCAAGAGAAGGGGGCGACAGAGGATAAAATGGTTCATAGCATCACGGACTCAATGGACATAAATTTGAGCAAACTTTGGGAGACAGTGGAAGATAGAGGAGCCTGGTATGTTGCAGTCTGTGGGGTCGCTAAGGAGTTGGACACAATTTAATGACTGATCAACAGAAGCGAATTCTTTGTTGATGACAAGGATGTCCTGTGCCTTCAATAATGTTCAGTAGCTCTTCTGGCTTCTACTCCATGGATGCCAACATACTTCTGCTATTCCCCACCAGCTGTGACCACCCAGGGATTGAACTTAGGTTTCCTGCATTGCAGGCAGATTCTTTACCAGCTGAGCAAACAGGAAAGCCCCAAAATGCCTCTAGACATTGCCAAACGTGTCCTGGGGACTAAACTACCCCTGCACCTTTTACCCTCTCTCTCCAGTTGAGAACCACTGATTTCAGATATTCAAAGGTGACAGGCATAGAGAAGAAAATAGGAAAAGTAAGGAGGAGGGACTACTCTGACAAGAAGTTCCCTACATATGATCTCAATAAAAGAAAGGATCTGAACAAATAAACTCATGAGGAAGAAACCAGGAGACCAAATGTTAAGGTATGCCAATAACAAAGATAAGAAGGCATTTATTTGAACAGAAGATCCACTAAGGAACATTCTTGAATGGAGCAAAGAGTGAGGTCCAACCTTCAGGGAATTCCTCTCTTGCACAGACATGGCGTATGGACAAAGTTGAGTGCTTCCACATGCCCAAAGTTCAGGCTTGGCTAAAGGGGATTTATGCACAGAGGGACTTTTGGGGAATGGTTAGGGGTGATTTGGAGTATCAGATCCTACAACTATTCAACAGATGCCCAAAGTCTTGGAATGGAAGGGGAAGCCACATAATACAACATCA